CTCTCATTATGTAATGCCAGATGAGTTACTTTTAAAGGGTAGATTAATTAAAATGAGCTGTGGATAATGGAGACGTACAGTGCCAACATGCCTCCCTCTCTCTTTGTACACCCACTTATTCTAATCCACTTAAAGTAACTGTACTGTACATCTTGTAAATGTACATTCATTACCAGTAATGCACACGCAATGGGTCAACTTAAAATCAAGGGCAGAATGTGATGATAATGCTGACATTTTTGTTATCATCATCTATCAGTGAGGGACAAAATCTGAAAGCTGTTGATTTATCAGTCACTATCATGCAGAACATATTACATTTTGTGCTGTCATTGACTAACACTGTCATCAAACCAAAAACAAAACACCTGATTGATTGTACCTACATAAATGGGGTAAAGTCACTACGAAAAATAGTATCCAAAAAGTATTTGGATAGTTAAGTCTCACCTCAACTGTGTGAGTGTCAGATTAGCCTATTATATAAAACCAACTGTCATTTATTTTTAAAGGAATACTACACCCAAACATGAAGATTCTGTCATTTACTCCCCCTCATGTTGTTCTAATCCAAAACTGTTCGACTTTCTTTCTTCTGCAGAACATAAAATATTTTGAAGAATGTTGGGAACCAAACCACACCGGAACACCATTTCTCAAAATATATTTTATGTTCCATAAAAGAAAGTAAGTCACGCAGTTTTGGAATGACAGTGTAAATGATCCCAGAATCTTCATTTTTGGGAGGAATATCCATTTACAACATAACACACAAGTACACTTTCAAGCAAAAAGTTTCACAAAAGTTAATTTATTCATGTTTTAAATTCTAAAACAATAGATACACTGTTCAAAATTAAGACAATGTATTTGGACACTCGTTTGTAAGAACTAAGAAGAAGAGGTTTAGCATTTATATGGTTTGATATCTTGTTTCAGAAACTGTTGTGAGCCACTGTTATGCTTTTATTAGTTTTGATTACATCATTAATCATTCTTTAAAAACTCTATAGTTGTTCTGCAGAAATGTATATGATATAATTAATAAAGATATATTCCATGTGTAAGTGCTTGTGTGGACCACATCCCACTGTTGCTAAGTCAAAAAGTCCTAAATGATGGAGAGGATGGAGGCTTTAAAGGTAGTCATCATAGCCAGATTCGTTCTCGATGCCAGCTGCAAATATAGAAACATGTCTGACATATTCCTTAAAGAGAAAACTGAGTTGAATTACATTTAGACAAAGGAGTTACCATTATAATGAACATTGTGCTTCATTCCAGCAGAGATGGGATCTTTTAACAAACACATTGAGATATAATTACATTAAACAGGTATTTACACACATTTCTGTAAATATAAGAGCACATACTTACAACTGAACTTGGAGGGACTGTGGGGGCCTGGTAAGATGGAGGGGGTGGCACCCATGATGGAATGGGAATAGTGGAGTCAGTGTTTTGCACGCTAGCATTGCCATTCAACTTCAACGTGGCTATCCTGGCATGAATGGGAATAGGTGGGAGGGGCCCTTTCCTCTGGATGAGCGACATAGACTCTTCATTAACACCAGAGAGAGTCTGTGGTGAGTCATGTAATTGGCTGGGTTTGCTCTCTGGAAGTGCTGCGTCTGAATCAAGACGTTGTGGAACTCTGGGTGAACTTCTGAGTGAAAGCCTATGGCCAGAATTAAACCCACAAAAAAAAAAAAAAATCAGAACCCAACTAGCATAGACTGAAAACATATACTACTGTGGGATTTACTTTTCAACATTTTCAATTAGAAATTGCAATAAATCTTACAATTACAAATAAACAGAAAGTAATACATTGAATAAACATCAAATTTGTAAGTATATAAACTGAAATAATATTTGCTTGTAAAAATCATTTTATTTGGTTGCCCTGGTTGCCTGTCTATGTCTGTTTTGCTTCTCACCTCTTGTGCAATTCATTTCCTCTGAGACAACTGTCAAGTTTTTCTTTCCAGTCAGAAACACCGCCCACACTGTATCTGCGTGTAAGTCCCGAAGATGCTGGAGAAGAGAGGAACATTCATTGGCACAACATTCATTATTTTAATGCAATTTGCATGGAGAGTTCAGAGTGTCAGACCTTTGTTGTCACTGATCTGCTTCTGCACAGCAATGTAGAACTGCTTGGCCTCATCTTCATCCACAAAGTTTATTCCTATCTGACACTTCTGCATGCACACACATTTGGTTTTCATCATGATGAGAACTTTCCATTGACTTCTATTGCTTTTCTATTGTTGAGCTAATGATATTTTATATCCCCTAAGCCTCAACCTTACAAAACAGTTTTACATTTTTTTTGTCAATTGTGAGATTTAATATGCTTGGTTGAGCATGCGGATCCACATGCGCATATGGATGCACATAAAAACACTTACACACATGCATACATGCAATGAAATGAATTTGTCACTCACATCACCAGGGAAGGTATGGAAGTAAGGACAAGTTTCGGAGTATTCAAATGGTGTATACAGCTCCTGTTCCCATTGCAGCTTGGCCTTCTGCAAAGAGAAAGAAATACCACGGTCACACATCATGACACGGCCTAAAAGTCTAAAGCAGAAACACTGCACATGAACAAGTGGTGGAAGTGGGTCAAAAAACAATAGAGACTTTGTAGAAGACATTTCTGAGAAGGTGCAGCATAAAAAAATAAAGTAATCCCACTGACAAGATAGAGTGATGACATTTGCGAGAATGTTGTGATGTTTAGTGTGAAATATATATAAAAACAGATTGTGTGTATTGATGTATAATTTGTAGAATGTAGAATAAATGTAGAATTTAAAGAGAAATGTACACAAAATCATCTAGTAACAAAGTTTTCATTTTAGATTTTTCCTGAAACTGCTTCCACTGCTGATTCCAAGAAATTGATTATTTCTGTATTCGATCTGTTAGCCTCACCTTAAGACAGTAGACTCTCATGAATGTTGAATGCACAGATTTATCTTGCACCAGACATAATACTCCAGAACTGTGACTTTTCCATTCCTTTTTCTGTGGAGGGGCTGCCATTACCAGCTGGACAATACCACATGCTAAAACCTGTAATGTACACGAGCAAACACACACACACATACATAAATACATATACAGTGTGTCTGTGAATATATACTTTTGAGTGTAAAGTGCATATTCACAGACACACAGTAAATATATATATATACAGTGGGTACGGAAAGTATTCAGACCCCCTTAAATTTTTCACTCTTTGTTATATTGCAGCCATTTTCTAAAATCATTTAAGTTAATTTTTTTTCCTCATTAATGTACACACAGCACCCCATATTGACAGAAAAACACAGAATTGTTGACATTTTTGCAGATTTATTAAAAAAGAAAAACTGAAATATCACATGGTCCTAAGTATTCAGACCCTTTGCTCAGTATTTAGTAGAAGCACCCTTTTGATCTAATACAGCCATGAGTCTTTTTGGGAAAGATGCAACAAGTTTTTCACACCTGGATTTGGGGATCCTCTGCCATTCCTCCTTGCAGATCCTCTCCAGTTCTGTCAGGTTGGATGGTAAACGTTGGTGGACAGCCATTTTTAGGTCTCTCCAGAGATGCTCAATTGGGTTTAAGTCAGGGCTCTGGCTGGGCCATTCAAGAACAGTCACAGAGTTGTTGTGAAGCCACTCCTTCATTATTTTAGCTGTGTGCTTAGGGTCATTGTCTTGTTGGAAGATAATGTAAAGTGAATATTCACAGACACACAGTAAATATATATATATATATATATATATATATATATATATATATATATTTCATTAATACACTTTTAACCACAAATACAGATCCAGTTGCATTGCAGACAGTGCAGTCAGTGGTTGTTTAGTACCTTTTAGTCTGGACAAATATGCAGTTTTGTGGGAAATATGCCATTTGCATAAGTTTGCATAGTTGAAAAACAAATGTATGTGTCTGTACTATGACTGGCCTCTGAGACTCTATATCTGTGAATAATTAAAATAACCATGTGTTCTGGCTACAAACCAGAGAAACCAGTGGTCAGTGGTTAGGATCAGGTTGTGTATTCCAGATAAAGCGAAAGAAGTGTGTGGAAAGAGCATAAAACACCAGCCAAGTGTCTGGGTGTCCCAATCACTGTTATTCTAGTATCGTTGAGATATTATTATAGTTTTGTTAATATTTTGAATTTGTTTTTATTTTTCTATTTTGAGTTTTCATTTTAAGTTACTAATTTTGTTGTTTTTGTCATTTTTTGTCTATATATATACTTTTTTTTTTGAACATCAAGTTAAACTAAATAAAAATGAGAACTGTTGCTCTAACAACTAGCTGAAAAATAAAATAAAATATAGGCTATATATATAATAAAAACTTATTTCAGTAAAAGTTCATGTTATTTGAAATATCTCTTCTGAAGTTATGTAATAGAATGACATAGGTCTCAGGCAACACACTACTAACAATGAATAATGGAAATGCAATTACAGTAATTCTAGTACACAGTATTAGATTCTAAATGGTATTTAGATCCGATATCATAATATATAACAAAACAAGTAAGTAAAAGGCATGAGGAAAAGTATTTAAAAAAGTGAACTCACACTGCAGTCATGACTTAGTAAACTGAAGATAAGACCGTTCTCACGAGTCGACAGGAGTGGACTCAAAATTCGTGACATCTCAAAATTCGTATCCTCTATCTTTGACGTCTCTCTTCTACAGTGTGTTCTTTCTGTTTTCTCATTTCACAGGTGTCCTGATCTATATCATCAAACAAATCACTCTGCTTTATACTTCCTAATGCAAATACCCTGGTGTCAGGAATACAGAAAACAGGAAAACAGAGTTCTATTCACACAACACACACAAGTAATTTCTACATTCATACTTCATACTGTACATGAAAAAAAAACAATATTGAGAGAAAATTTTACATTTAGTATTTATTAAATCAAACATGACTGCTTTAGTTCACTCTGCCACAGAGGAGAGTGAAAAAAAGCAAAAACCTGTGTAGCTAAAAATAGCAGCGCACCTACAGTAGAATTTCAGCGTTTGCGTGCCGCCATCTAATGGTAGAAATTTACTTTTTAGAAAGTCAAAACAACAATTTCCCATTTGACATCCCTACAGACATTCAATACAGTCAAAGATGTTCTAGAGGCTGTACGTTTTGTGAGCTTCTATGTCTCCAGAGGTTGAGTATCCTAAATGATTTACAGGCCAGTGTCCAGGACTTGGCACAACAGTATGTTCGATACGCTGAAATAAAACCATTGCAGGAGAGCTTGTCATTACAGGCAGAAACAAACGCACATGATCTTCTCTTCCAGGCCAGAAAGCATTAGGGTCCACCCAGCAAACCGGCTTCCTACAACACATATACAGACATAACCAAAATAAAACATTCTTATTTAAAACATGCCCTATACCATTCAAAAGTTTGGAGATTTTTTTATATCTTTCTTTGAAAAAATTTATCTGAAAGCATTTATTGGATCAAAAATACAGTACAAACGTAAAATTGTGAAATATTATTAACATGATTTAAAATATCTGTTTTCTATTTCAGTCATTTTTTAGATGGAATTTATTCTAATGACGGCCAAGCTGAATTTTCAGCAGTCATTGCTCCAGGCTTCAGTGTAACATGCTTCTTCAGAAATAATTTGATTTGGTGCTCAAGAAACATTTTTTATTATTATTACTAATGTTGAGTACAGTTGTGCCTCTTAATAGTTTTGTGGAAACGGTGATCCATTTTTGCAGGACTCTTATATGAATAGAAAGCTCAAAAGAATAGCATTTATTTTCAATAGAAATCTTTTTAACAAACTAAATATCTTTACTGACACTTTCAATCAATTGAATGTATTTTTGCTAAATAAAAGCATTAATTTATTTTCTTTTTTTAAACCATCTTACTAACCTGAAATTTTTGAAAAGTTAACAAAACAAATAAATAGACATAGAAATCTCCTCATCCTGGTCCTGATTAGTAGATTTTTTTTATCATACAGTGACTTACATCTTTTTGTGGCCCTTATGTGCTCCACCTTCAACTCGATGTGTTTTGGGTGTCCCAAAGTAACCTCCAAATTTGTCACCAGGGTGCAACAGGACTTAGAGAAAGAGACACTGTCAGGTTGCATTTGTATTCGGCATTCATTTTCCAATGGTTTACTATGCCATCTCTAGTGTGCTTGTAGATGTGCAGTTTCTATATATTATATAACATACCTTTCTGTAGTGTGGCCTGGCTCACATTTAGCCCTTGTCGTTGGCATTGCTCCAGTGATTTCAGGTATTCACTGAAACAAAGTCTCCTGAAACGATCCACTTCTCTGCCCACTGGGCCACTCAGAGAAGAAGGACAAGAGGTCTTGGTGGCTGCCAGCACTCTCCGCATGATCGCTAACACCTCCACGTCCTGCAGGACCTCCTAGAAATGTTTACATTTACTACTATGTATGTAGCATAACTCACCAGACATAATTTGATACTGTAATTAACATTATTGTATACAAATAGTAATAAAGATTTAACTTTTGTGATCATAATTCTAGTTTTAATTGCCCTTATAAACAGTACTTTGGTGGGAACATAGTTCTGTAACGGTCTTTGATATTTATTTTTATGTTTAAATATAAAAATTGATAGTTATTTTTATATGATTATGTGTTTCTGTACCTGGTCATCTTTCTCGTCTCCATGTACTGGAAGATGGTGTCTTGACCCAATCCTTCCCTCACAGTCTGCATTCCAATAACCTAAACATAAACATGCAATACCTTATGATGTTACACGATGTAAGCAATGAAAGTTCACTATTACACATTTGCACTTGTATTTGTCCCTATCTTTACCCCAGACCAAGATATACCTGGGCTTGATTGTTGTTCTTCGTTTTCCTCATGCTTTCTGCTCCAGGCCTGAATAGAAGCAGCCAGAACTTCCACAGTTACTGAGTTTCCATCCTTACTATTCAAAGAGGACATCAGCACATTCAGCCGCTCAGGATGTATGGAGAAGCCTTCCTACAATCAAACCAAAAACACATTTGTTTGTTTCTACAATGTTCTTAAGTCTGTGCAAAAAAAACTAATGAAAAAATGTACAGCCAGAGCTGTGTATGCACACCTTTTTAAACAGAGCACTGAGGTCTACACGCTTTAATTTACCAGTCCCATTCCAGTCCAAGAGTTTGGAGAGGTTGCAGGGCTCGCACATGCGCAGAAAGCGCTTCACTTCTTCAAGTTCACGTCTGAGCGCGCGCGGAGACTATGATATAAAGACAAATTTGAAAACCCTCCCAAAAAAATAAATGCACAAACTATTTGGTTTAACAATTTTTCTTTCTAATGCAAGTCGTGTTTTATATATATATATA